TGTGGCTCTGCTCCGGCACAGGGAGGGGGGAAGGGAGTGGGGGGGAGGGAGGAGGTTTCATTCGCTGCCCCTGCCTTCAGCAAAATTTCTCAGCACCAGGAAAGTGGCCAATGGGAGCTGAGGGATTTTGTTAGGGGGCGGGGACAGAACGCAAAGCTTTCTCCTCCCTGCTCAGACTGCATAGCCATTAGCAGCCTGCTGTTTAAAGAGGTTGCAGCTGCTCTGTAGTAAGGGTGGTGGTGAGATAGCTGTGGGCCAGATCTGGCAGCTTAGCCTCTCGCCAGCCCCTGCTGTAGATTATTTTTAGCCAGATGGTTAACCAGCAGGGTTTCTAGAAAGCCTGTATTGATTTAGTTTAGTAACCTAAGTCCAGTATCTTTACAATCCGCTCTTGGCCTTTGATAAATCTGCATTCACTGCAGATATCTCAGTGCGGTGGTATTTACACAGCAGCTGCCCTTCAGTAGCCACCAACAACCTCGTACACACGCAGTCTCCTTGGGCACAGCCGATCCAGTATTTCTGTGAGTAGCTGGTGACAGGGCAGGTTTCAGTGGGGCTTGGGGTACATCTGTGATGTAGCAAAGCAAAGTGAGGGCTGGTACAATCCTCGAGGGAATGTTTCGGTGGCTCACGGCGCTAAAAGCCCACTTAATACCACCAAAGCTCGCTTCCTGTCTGGCAAGCCCAGGGTAGCCTGGATACGCTCAGGAAGTGCCACTGTGGCAACAGACAGTAGAGATCTGAGGGCAAATTTGTGGTTAGATTAACGAAGGTCCATGGTGCTCATGTGACAAGTCAAATAACGAGCAGTTGTGTGGATTGTGTTGTGAATATAGCCTCTTCCCGACTTACGAACCGATTACAGACCAAGCAATTGGTCGTAACTTGGTTTGTTTGTATGTCAGACCCCGTAGAGTTACACGCGACCGTGCTGTTCTTAAGCGTGGATTGCATTCGTAACTCGGGGTCCGCCCTTTATGACAGCTTTGGTCATAAACGCGAACGGTCGTCAGTCGACTGTTCGCAACTCGGGGACCGACTGTAGTCGTTCCTGGACTGCTTCATCCTAAGCATGAGAGGAAAATCCACGTTATAGTTTGTTACACACACTCAATGGGAGCTGGAAATGCTCAGTACCAATTGGAACATTTCAGGACTGGGTGCTTACTGGACCCAAATTTGCTTTCGCACTAGTGAAAAATCAGGCACAACTTCACTGAAGTCAATGGGATTCCAGCCCTGTGACTGAGATCCTATTCAAGCCTCATGAATCCGCTGCCCATTCAAGGAGATAATGAAGGACACAAATAGTTGCCTTTGGCCGTATGACAAAGCAAAGCTTGTTCGGTGCAAGGTGCGAACTTTTCCTAGCTTGATCATTGCTCAAACATGGCAACTTTCCAGTCCTAAGAAAGGCTCTCAGAACCTCTTCTTGAGCTTGTGCAATTTCCAGACAAAAGTCAGCTGAAAGAAGACTAGCAAGATGGTTTATTAGGTGATGAGCAAAAGCTCATCACCTAATAAACCATCTTGTTAGCCTTTAAAGTGCTGCATAGTCCTGTCCTTTGTTTCAGCTACACCAGACTAACACGGCTGCATCTCTATCACTATTCAGACAAAAGTCAGATTCTCCTACAAATGTTAGAGTTTCACATGGAAGATGGTGTGAGGATGGTTCCCATGGATTGTCCAAAATATCTATTACTAAATAGCATATAGCAAGTTAAACAGAAAGTTTAATATACTAATTCGGAAGGTCTTAACCTTTGAAAGAATGAGATGCCAGCTGTTACTTCTAAATATTTTAATGTGCAATATTAAAACCAGCAACATTTCAAGTCAGTGCTTAAAAACCTATCGCTTCAAAATTACAACTGTAATCTCCATGGGAGCCCGACTGGCTAGAATTAAATGTTTAACGCCCAGGCCTGGTCTATATTACATCGGAAGGTCAAAGTAAGATATGCAACTTCATCTCTGTAAATTACAGAGCTGGAGTTGCCGTATCTTACGTCGCGTTTCTGTGCCGTCCACACAGTGGCAAATGCTTCCGCTGGCTTCCCTTACTCTTCGGGAGGAGCAAGAGTACCAATGCTGATGGGGTTCCCTTCTGAGTTTGACTTAGGGGGTCTATACTAGACCCACTAAATCGAACCCCAGAATATCAATTGTGGCAGTGGCGATCTTCCATGTAGTGTAGACAAGCCCCCACTGATAAGGAGATTTAGTGCAACCTCCTAGCGGCAATAGAAGTGCTTTTTACAGTTTTACTAAAAATACTGGTGAGGCCACTTCTCTGGCAATCATTTTCGATGTGTATTATCCTTAAGCTCGCAGGTTGTGTTCTATTACTACACACAGCACTGATCTTAGTGTGTTAATACTCTGCCTTTCATTAGCACACCATCCCCGGCTACGTACAGACTTCAATATTTTTGCCTTTCTTAAACTACGCGCTCCAAGTGAGCTCAGTACCGAGAGGTGAACTTGTTGTAATAAACATACTTTGGTGTGCAGGACCGAGAGGCTACATCTCAAAAGTTCATCCTTTTGGTTTTAGACAACTCAAATGGCTAAATGTCCTATGTGACTGAGTCTCAGAACCATCACTTCTTCCTGCTGTGGTCAGTTTAGCGGCTTGCGTTCTACTACACGGAATGAATGTAATCTCGGATTCCGCGGAAGCCTTCTTCCCTTTTTAGAGTGGTTTCGGTATAACAGGAAATGTAATGTTTTGCATTTAGTTTCCTAACATGCTTTTTCTCTTGAGTCTGTGTCCCCTCCCTTCCTCATCCATATTTAGGCTCATTGTGCTTAAACTCTAAACGGGGGGGGGGTGACTTTATGGGATCTGTCAACATGCAGCCAGGTTGCAATAGGTACATTTCACAAATACTTGCATAAATATGGGATTATAACAGTGCCGTGTCTATTGCTGCTTTCAAGCGGTGCAACAATGCCTCTGGGGGTGGGGACAGGGATTTAGGGTTCAGTTTCTTGAAATCCTCGTTAGCATTTAAGGATGTTAACACCTGCACAGCCCTCTTTAAATCAAACACAGCGTGCAGCATGCCCAGGGCGGAGGCAGCAGCCCGGTGAGTGTTCTTGGCTGAAGCTTCTTCATCTAGAACGTGGTGTAAGACCGAAATCCTGTTTTCTGCGATCACCTTAAGGAAGTTGTAGAACTCCTTATAGTCTATGCCGGTGCACGATTTCATGATTACCTGAAGGGAGAAAAAAAAAAAACAGAACCCACATTGATCTTTGACTCCTTATTAATTACATGAGTAAGGATAGGTCTACACTGCCACCCTAATTCGAAATAGGGTGGCTAATGTAGGCGTTCGAAGTTGCAACTGAAGCCCGGGATTTAAATATCCCGGGCTTCATTTGCATCTTGCCGGGTGCCGCCATTTTTAAATCCCCCTTAGTGTGGACTCCGTGCCCGTGGCTACACGCGGCACGGAGTAGGCAGTTCGAATTAGGCTCTCTAATTAGGCACTAATTAGGCTCTCTAATTCGAACTACCGTTACTCCTCGTGGAACGAGGTGTACCAGTAGTTCGAATTAGAGAGCCTAATTAGTGCCTAATTAGAGAGCCTAATTCGAACTGCCTCCTCCGTGCCGCGTGTAGCCACAGGCACGGAGTCCACACTAAGGGGGATTTAAAAATGGCGGCACCCGGCAAGATGCAAATGAAGCCCGAGATATTTAACTCCCGGGCTTCATTTGCAACTTCGAATGCCTACTTTAGCCACCCTATTTCAAACTAGGGAGGCAGTGTAGACATACCCTAAGAGAGCTAAAAGGAAGGTGCCTGACCACGCCAATAAGCAGCTGAAAACACTTCTTGGTGTGTGAATCCTGTTTGTTATTTCCTGATGCCTAATAAAAGTAAAATACATTCACACGAAATCTCAATAGTCCCCATAAAACATTTCCAAAGGAGGGGGGCGCAAGCCATTCTGCCGCTCTACTCTGCACTAGTTAGGCCTCAGCTGGAGTACTGTGTCCAGTTCTGGGCGCCACATTTCAAGAAAGATGTGGAGAAATTGGAAAGGGTCCAGAGAAGAGCGACAAGAATGATTAAAGGTTTAGAGAACATGACCTATGAACTGGGCTTGTTTAGTTTGGAAAAAAGAAGATTAAGGGGGGACATGATAGCGGTTTTCAAATATCTAAAAGGGTGTCACAAGGAGGAAGGAGAAAATTTGTTCCTCTTGGTTTCTGAGGACAGGACAAGGAGTAATGGGCTTAAAGTGCAGCAGGGGAGGTTTAGATTGGACATTAGGAAAAAATTCCTAACTGTCAGGGTGGTCAAATATTGGAATAAATTGCCAAGGGAGGTGGTGGAATCTCCCTCTCTGGAGATATTTAAGAACAGGTTAGATAGACATCTGTCAGGGATGGTGTAGACGGAGCTTGGTCCTGCCTTTAGGGCGGGGGGCTGGACTCGATGACCTCTCGAGGTCCCTTCCAGTCCTATTATTCTATGATTCTAAGCCAGAGGGCGGGACACCGGCAGACACCAGTATGCTAGTGTGACGTGGCATCGTGACGTCACGGCCGGTGACTGCTGGATTCAAAAAGGCTCCGGCAGCCCCGCAAACTGGAAGGCAGAAGCCAGGTAGGGGAGGGGAAGGGACTTGTGCTGAGGGGAGGGGGACAGGTCAGGAGAAAGGGGAAGGCACCAAGGGACAGGGTGCAGGAGAGACAAATGCCAGGGGGCCAAGTGGAGACACACATGGTATTTTTTGCTCGACAAACATTTTTAGCCCGTGTGTTCGGTATTTTTTTGGGAAAGCATTCCTACTTGCGGCCCGCGGCTGTTTTCTTTGGAGTAATAGGGCCCTCGCCGCTTTCCGAGTTGTGCAGGCCTGCAGTAAACTCTTATAAGGCCAGTTCTACTGGCTGAGGTTTCCCTAGCTCAATGAGACAGATTTTATGATTTCCAGTAGAGAGCAATCTCATGCAAGGATATACAATACCCAGCATCTCCTATGAAACAAATAGCAAACCTATGTGGTATCGAAAGGTCTAGAAATGGAATTAGTGGGTGCAGATTAACACACCAACTTTCTTGAGTCATAGATTCTACACTTGCTTGGGGAAGCAAATAGGTGCATGCAGGAGCATATACACTAGGGATGTGAATGGGTAACTGGTTAGCAGGTGGTACTTACTGGGTAATGGTTAACAGGTGCCCAGGAGCAGCAGGTGGGTCTGGGAGTTTTTCCAGCAGGCTGGAGCGCACCCCAGTCCGAAATCCTCCTCAACTGGTTCATCAGTTAAACCGGTTAACTGATTAAATGGGATTTTACATCCCTAACATACACTGAATGTTGCAGTGAGATAGATTACCCCTTAAATCTCTCTCACCTAAACTGGACTGGTCATTTTCCAGCTCATAATAAAGCCTGACTTCTTAATACAGAAACTTCAGGGGGTAGCCGAGTTAGTCTGTACAGGACAAACTTAAAAAACAACAAATGGTCTGGTAGCCCTTTATAGACTAAGAAAGCACGAAGATGATACGGAGCAGTGTGGAGTCTAATATCACTGAAATACACTGCATACAGGAGTTATCATAGAGCTCCGAGGAAATCTATACTATGGGTGCAAGGAAAGGGGGGCTCACCCCACTTAACTGATGGGGTGCTATACCTGGCATTGTAGGTGCCAGTCCTCCATAGTGTCTCTCCATTCGCTGATCTCCCGTTGCACGGCTGCTAATTCATCCTGCAGGAAGCTCCACATGATAGCGACGTTGCAACCATTCACCCAGTTGTGGTTGATGGAAATGGTGTCCTCCTGGAAGAACCCACAGAGTCTAGGTGGTTATTCATCTTAGCCTAGGAGCAGGCGGCGTGTGATGTCTCTGACCCCCTCACTGATTTCCACAAAGCTGGTGCCAGCCAGAGGAAATCCCTCACCTTGGAAAGGCATCTCTCGGCCTCAATTATCTTCGGAGACTACCTCTTTTAGAGCCCTTGCTGATCAAACTCTGCTTTCCCTATGCTCAGTCCTTCTCTCTGACACTTGGCAGTTACATCCACACCAGTGCCGGGCCCTACTGCAACCACATTTTTAATGTTCAGGCCTTTAACACTGAAGGACGCACTGTCTTTGGCAGCGTATGTTGGATGCTTGAGATCCCCCTGTGCCATTCACTCCGTTTCCTCCCAATGCAGGATACAGACGAGAATTCTGTATTTGACTTTATGTTCTAAATGATCAAGTGGCCAGGAGCGCCCTTTGCTAGGCATGAAAATGGGACCGGGTTAGTCCCTGCTGTAACTTCCAGATCGTTACTGCAGGGACTGATCAGTTGGGACAGGGTTGTATCGTGCTCATTGCAAACATGAAAACAATGCATACGGCACAGAAATGATTCAACAGACTCTAGTCCCTATCACATGCCTATAGGAGAGCTTGAATCTCTAGTGACTCCAGAGACCGGGATGTGCACCAACATCCAGCTAAACCCAAACATCACACAGATCTCTGTTACTCCCCCCCCGCCCTCCCCTCTAATCAGAAACTCCCAGTTTATTTTAAAAA